GGCATCGGGATCATCTGCCCGACGATCTCGATCTACGGGTGCCATCACGTGCAGGTGGTGAAGGGGACGCTGTTCGGACGGATCGACGTGTTTCGGAGCGTGGTGTCGCGCATCGACAGCATGAAGGTGACCGGCGTGTCGGACTTCGACGTCACGAACGGCGCGATCCGCGTCGCGTTCTGCGGGTATGGGCCGACGCTGGAGCCGTCGTACATCGCCATCACCAACAACGAGGTCTATGGTGAGAACTCTTTTCTCTGTCCCTGCCTCCTCACATATCCCCTCCCATCCTTCTCTTCTCTCCCCACCTCCACCGTGCACATTCCCCCAAACCCCCCACCCCCCCGCCTTCCCCCATCCCCTTCCTGCTCCTCAACCGCCTCCCGCCCTGTTTCCTCTTGCCGGGTACCCAAGCCCTTGCCTGAACCATTGCCTTCTCTCCCGATTCCTTCCCGCTGCACTTCACGCTCTTCTTTCTCCCCAGCTAATTGCCATGCCATCCCCGCTCTCCCGATCAACCTTACTTGATCCCTCCCTCCTGTTGCGAATTGCAGGTGTGCATACGCCTATCGTTCTCTACCGTGGCGCGGTGGGTGTAACCGTGCGAAACAACTACATCCACGACTTCCTTTTCGCGGGGATTCGCTGCGGCGCTGACGTCAGCTTCCAGGGGGACTGCATGCTGACGACGATCTCCAACAACCTTGTTGTCGCGACGGCGCGTAACATGAGCGGCGATCAGGACGCGGCGGGGATTTATTATTGTGTACACTGGTTTAACCCAGGAAATGTAGCGGAGTGTAACTATATCTACAACGGCGACCACTGCTATTATTTTGATTATGTTTCGTCTGGAATCACGGTGCGCGGAGGGGCGTGCATCGCACTTACGATGGCATCAAAGTCAATAATGGAAAATGGTGAGTGGCCTTTGTCAGGCGGGGCCAATGTTATTGATGTGAGTGAAATTTGATTTGTTCCTTTATCTGGACCCACGTCACCCACCTAGGCCTATGTAACGTCCTTCTTCACCCTTCCGTGTTTTCCTGCCTCTCACCATTCCAACCAATTGTATCCTTACTGTTTGCAGGAACTTTGTAGAGGATGTGATAATGAAGAATGTGCCGGAATGACGGGGTGGTTTACGTGTTTAACCCCCACGCTCAACAACTGCGCCATTCGCCCGGGCACGTACTGGGAGTCGATGAGGAGAAAATACTATGACACTCCTCTCTGGAACAATGTGAGTGGTGCAGTCTTTATGTTTGTATTGAGGCGGCACAACATACTCTAACACACCTGCAAGGACATTTGTCTGGACAAGGCCATCAACGATAACCCCTGGAACACCGAATCAACGCTCTCCCCTCTTCCTCCCTCGTTCCCCCCACATCTCTCCCCCTCCTCTCCAGCTCTGGCCATGGATGAAGGACATCTGCCTGGATAGAACCATCAGCGGTAACCCGTGCAACACCGCAGACACCCTCTCTGCGGCCCAAACCGGCTCCTGCAGCGGCCTGCCCTCCGACAATTTCCTGGACCTCGTACTCATTAATAACAAGCGCAACACCTGGTATAAGTACTGTGAGAACCTCACCACTGTAGCCAAGTTCAACTACTACAAAGTAACCAACGTTACGGACGGCAACACGCTCGGATTCGCGAGCTTTTCGAACGATGATCTGGCGGTCGGCGCAAGCTCCCCATTGGTCGTTGCGAAACCGAAATTCAAGAGCTGCTCGAGGGGCAGCGTGGCCCGAGGAGAGTGCTGGACGTGTTTTACTACAGCAACTTCAACCAACCGGAGCCCGACACGTACAGCTTGGTGCAGTCAATGGGCACAAGACACATCCAGGATTCGTCGCGGTGGAATGCCTGAGAGCAGCTGAAGGCGGCTCAAGGTATTCCCGCTCCCAAGTCCTGACAGACGCGCTTTTGAATGGGGCGACGGAGGGAAGGGGGTGTGCAGGCAATGGGCATGAGAACACATCGGAGACTCGCCACAGTGGAATGCTTGGTCAATGGGCAAGCGGGGAGGGAGGAGAATGGGGTGGAGAATGGGCAATGGGGAGGAGAGGAGGCGTGGTAATGGCAATGGGCAATGAAGCACATCCCGGACTCGTCGCAGAGCAAAATAAATGCACAATTGGGGGGGGGGGGTTGATGGGGGGGGAGGTGTTGAGGAGTGTCAGCAGGTGATCGGCACAGGGCAGGACTGGTTGGCACAGCTTACATACCCTGCCGGCACTATGAATTGTTTTACGCTCACAGCTGCTGCAGCATGGAGAGCCAGGCCTCCCAGAAGACAGTATGGGCTGATTGCATTTATTATATTATTTCACTAATGGTGCATTTCGCCAATTGTTATTTTATAAATGTCCCTCTCTCCATGGCAGCAATAACCCTTCTACACCCTAATGCCTTTGATTTGCTAGCTGTTTTTGTCATGAAAACTAATTTATTCACGAAGCTTGCAGCGCGGAAGCCAAGGTGTTGTCTGCACTGCATCTGGTTCAGCAAAGGCACTAGAAAACTATTATGGCTTGCAATACAGGGATCACGCTGGGTAGCTCACAAAACGATATTATGTCAGGTTGTGGTGTGTTACCGATTCTGCTAGCCTTCTAACAAAGGCGCTCCAAGACCGGTTTGCCTCCCTGAATGTCCCGGTTGAGGCGCCAGGCTGTTACTAGAGTGCTCGTTACTGTAGCTACCGTGCAAGTGGGCACCAGGATGGGCCCCACTGGAGTGGCGATGGTGGTGGCTGAACTCGGCCCCTTCACTGCGAGGCGGAGGGCGAGGTGGAGGAGGAAGAGCAGGTACGGCAGGGCGAGGAGGAGCAGGAGCAGAGCGTGGTGAGCGGTGTGCGAGTGCGGAGGTTGGTCCGGGAGAAGTCGAGGAGGAGATAGAGGTTGATGGCGATGACCAGAGCCGCTGACGCCCAGGCTAGCACCTGAGGGGTGGGGGGATGAGGAAAGAGAGCATGCGTTGAAAGGGAGAGGAGGCAGGAGAGAGTGAGGGAGGTTGGTCCGGGAGCAGTCCAGGAGGAGATAGAGGTTGATGGCGATGACCAGAGCCGCTGACGCCCAGGCTAGCACCTGATGGGGAAGGATTAGGGGGGGTGGGGGTGGGGGTGGGGGGGGAGGGAAGGAAAGCAAGTGTGTATGTCTCTCGGTCTGAGAGAGTGAAGGAGGAGAGAGAGGTCGATGGCAATGGCACGAGCGGCTGATGTCCGGGCGTGATGCACCTGATGGGGAAGCAAAGTGGGGGATGTGTTGGAAGAGGGCAGGGGGGCAAGGGAGCGAGATTGCTGGTGATGCACAGAGTGGCAGAGGCCAGGGCGTGATGCACCTGATGGGGAAGCAAAGTGGGGATGTGTTGGAAGAGGGCAGGGGGGCAAGGGAGCGAGATTGCTGGTGATGCACAGAGTGGCAGAGGCCCGGGCGTGATGCACCTCATGGGGAAGCCAAGTGGGGGAAAAGAGGAGAGGAGGGGATGATGGCGAAGGGCAGCTGCACTGACTGGAAGACACTCACTCACGCCTCACCTCTATGACTTTGCTCACCTTGACCGCCCCCTTGATTGCGTATCGCCCCATGACGTGCGGTGACGTGGCGATAGCAAGAAGGGGGATGATGGCGAAGGGCAGCTGCACGGACTGGAGGACGTTGAGCCACTCGTTGAGGGAATCCAGCGAGGAGATGGTGAGCATGGGGGGTGAGAGAGGCATGAGGGGTGAGTGCGGCAGGGAGAGTGGAGGGGGGGGAGGAGAGGGGATAGGAGGAGGAGTGGGGAGTGGAGGAGAAGGGGAGGGAAGCAGCAAGCGATGTGATGAACTGCAGTGATGCATTCGAGGGTGAAATGGATGACACAAGGGAGTGGTCCGTGATAGGAGAAGGCAGGGCAGCCAAGGGAGAGGAGAAGAGAAGACTAGCTGCTGCTGTTGCTGTTGCAGGCCGGAAGGGAGTTGAAACGTTGACAAACGTGGGAACAGCTGCTGCAGCAGCACTCGTGTCTGCTGCTCCTGTTAGGGGCACAAACAGTGCTGCCACTGGCGGAGAGGCAGCGGGGTGAGCTGTAGAGCAGAGCCACGACGATGGTGGGCACGATGGCAACGGTGCGCGTGACGAGCACGCGCACCCACTTGCGCACGTGCAGGTCCAGGAAGCCCGACATCACAAACTGCCCCGCATAGGTTCCAGTCATGGTGGACGACTGGCCGGCGGCCAGTAAGCCCGCCGCCCAGATGAAGACCACTGGAAAGGTGGAGGAGCCAAAGGCTTCCTGGGAAAGCAGGTGCGCAAAGAGGAGAGCGAGAGGAGAAAGAGAGGCACAGGAGAGGGTGAGGGCGTGTGTAACCATGCGGGTGACGAGCACACGCACCCACTTGCACACGTGCAGGTCCAGGAAGCCCGACATCACAAACTGCCCCGCGTAGGTTCCTGTCATGGTGGACGACTGGCCGGCGGCCAGTAATCCCGCCGCCCAGATGAAGACCACTGGAAAGGTGGAGGAGCCAAAGGCTTCCTGGGAAAGCAGGTGCGCAAAGAGGAGAGCGAGAGGAGAAAGAGAGGCACAGGAGAGGGTGAGGGCGTGTGTAACCATGCGGGTGACGAGCACACGCACCCACTTGCACACGTGCAGGTCCAGGAAGCCCGACATCACAAACTGCCCCGCATAGGTTCCTGTCATGGTGGACGACTGGCCGGCGGCCAGTAAGCCCGCCGCCCAGATGAAGACCACTGGAAAGGTGGAGGAGCCAAAGGCTTCCTGGGAAAGCAGGTGCGCAAAGAGGAGAGCGAGAGGAGAAAGAGAGGCACAGGAGAGGGTGAGGGCGTGTGTAACCATGCGGGTGACGAGCACACGCACCCACTTGCACACGTGCAGGTCCAGGAAGCCCGACATCACAAACTGCCCCGCGTAGGTTTCCTGTCATGGTGGACGACTGGCCGGCGGCCAGTAATTCCCGCCGCCCAGATGAAGACCACTGGAAAGGTGGAGGAGCCAAAGGCTTCCTGGGAAAGCAGGTGCGCAAAGAGGAGAGCGAGAGGAGAAAGAGAGGCACAGGAGAGGGTGAGGCGTGTGTAACCATGCGGGTGACGAGCACACGCACCCACTTGCACACGTGCAGGTCCAGGAAGCCCGACATCACAAACTGCCCCGCATAGGTTCCTGTCATGGTGGACGACTGGCCGGCGGCCAGTAAGCCCGCCGCCCAGATGAAGACCACTGGAAAGGTGGAGGAGCCAAAGGCTTCCTGGGAAAGCAGGTGCGCAAAGAGGAGAGCGAGAGGAGAAAGAGAGGCACAGGAGAGGGTGAGGCGTGTGTAACCATGCGGGTGACGAGCACACGCACCCACTTGCACACGTGCAGGTCCAGGAAGCCGACATCACAAACTGCCCCGCGTAGGTTCCTGTCATGGTGGACGACTGGCCGGCGGCCAGTAAAGAGGCGACTGGCTTCCTGGGAAAGCAGGCGCACAAAGAGGAAGCCCGGCATCACAAAGTGCCCCGCGTGGGTTCCTGTCAATGGTGGACGACTGGCCCGCTGCTAGCAGACCCGCCGCCCAGGTGAAGACCACTGGGAAGATGGAGCAGCTGAAGGCTGCCTGTGCAAGGGGGGAAGAAAGGGCGAAGAGAGCCGAAAGAAAGGTGAAGACGAGGTCAAGGAAAGGTCGAGGGGGAGTGTGTGCGGGTGACGAGCACACGCATGTAATGAGTGGACTCAAAAATCGACTCATTACACACGTCGAGGGGGCATGTGTGTGGGTGACGCGCACACGCACCCATGCCCTGGGCCAGTCCTTGATCCATACTTGCGCATGCGCACTGAGACTGCTTTTAAGGCGCCTCAAATGCATGCCCTGGGCCTGTCCTTGATCGATCCATACTTGCGCACGTGCAGGTACAGGAGGAGAGGGGTGGTGGGCTCAAGGGTGGCAGAGACGAGCGGCTCTGAGACCTGCGCAGGTGGGGCATGGGAGTGGACTTCGGAAGACTCATCATAAGCACCTGCTGATCCACCCACTGGTGGTAATCCACCGTTACACCTGGTAACCAGCTACACACACGTACCTGTAGATATTCAGCAGCGTTATCGAGCCCAATGTCTACAGCCCCTGGTCGCCCATAGAACAGCTTTGCAAAGACGGAGACGACACAGAGGTTGACGAGGAAGGAGAGGAGGAGAGCAATGGCGGACTCCAGGGTGAAGTAGACAAGCGCCTCTGACACGCGTGCGGGGGAGTGGCGGTCGATGGCCCGCGGACTGCACGAGCGCGGAGTGCAGGAAGATGTTGTGCGGCATGATGACGGCGCCCACTATGCTCACTGCCATCCCCATGGCGCCGCGAGGGATGGATGGAATGAGCAGACCTGGATGGGGAATGGAGTTCGGGGTTTGGGGGATGGGGGGAGGGGAAGGGGACATGAGAGGAGTGTTGGAGCGAAGAAAGATGTTTGTACGGCATGATGACGTGCCCACGATGCTCACTGCCATGCCCATGGCCCCACGGGGGATGGGAGGGCACTAGGAGGCCCGGGTGGTGGTTGATGAACGAAAAGGGGGGAGAGGAGAGGGGGAGTGGCGGTGGATGGCTCATGATTGCACGAGGTGACTTTTGAGTCGACTCAAGGTCAGCTCGTGGTTGTAGGAGTGCAGAGGGCCAGGAAGATGTTGTGTGGCATGATGTTGTGTGGCATGATGCTTGTGTGGCATGATGTTGTGTGGCATGATGTTGTGTGGCATGATGTTGTGTGGCATGATGTTGTGAGGCATGATGTTGTGTGGCATGATGTTGTGTGGCATGATGATGTGTGGCATGATGTTGCGTGGCATGATGTTGCGTGGCATGATGTTGCGTGGCATGATGTTGCGTGGCATGATGTTGTGTGGCATGATGTTGTGTGGCATGATGTTGTGTGGCATGATGTTGTGTTGTATGATGTTGTGTGGCATGATGTTGTGTTGTATGATGTTGTGTGGCATGATGTTGTGTGGCATGATGTTGCGTGGCATAATGTGTGTGGCATGATGTTGTGTGGCATGATGTTGGCGTGACATAATGTTGTGTGGCATGATGTTGTGTGGCATGATGTTGTGTGGCATGATGTTGTGTGGCATGATGTTTGTGTGGCATGATGACGGCACTGGCTATGCCCACTGCCATGCCCATGGCTCCACGGGGGACGAATGGGGGAAAATGGTGAGCTTTTGAGGCGCCTGAAAAAGAGAGGCACGGTGAAAAGGTGAGAGATGGTGTGAGGGACGAATTGAGGATGGCATAGGAAATGGGGATGCGGATGTGCAGGGTTTGGGGGATGCTAATGTGCATGGGCACGGGTATGGGGGATGCGAATGCACATGGGATTGGGTATGGGGATGCGAACGCGGCATGGGAACGGGTATGGGGATGCGAACGCGCATGGGAACGGGTATGGGGATCCGAACGCGCATGGGAACGGGTGTGGGGGATGCGAACGCGCATTGGGAACGGGTATGGGGATGCCAATGCGCATGGGATTGGGTATGGGGGATGCGAATGCGCATGGGATTGGGTATGGGGATGCGAATGCGAATGGGATTGGGGTATGGGGATGCGAATGCGCATGGGATTGGGTATGGGGATGCGAATGCGCATGGGATTGGGTATGGATATGCCCCATGCCATCCCGATCACCCCATGGCAACCCCCATCGCCCCATGCAACCCCCATCGCCCCATGCAACCCCGAGTCACTCCCTGCAACCCCCATCGCCCCATGCCACCCCCATCGCCCCATGCCACCCCCATCGCCCCCATGCAATCTCCGTCGGCCCCATGCAACCCCCATCGCCCCATGCAACCCCCGTCGCCCCATGCAACCCCCATCGCCCCATGCAACCCCCATCGCCCCATGCAACCCCCATCGCCCCATGCCACCCCCATCGCCCCATGCAACCCCCATCGCCCCCATGCAATCCCCATCGCCCCATGCAACCCCCATTGCCCCATGCAACCCCCATCGCCCTGTGCAACCCCGCCCCCCATGCACACCCCCATCGCCCCATGCAACCCCCATCGCCCCATGCAACCCCCATCGCCCCATGCAACCCCCATCGCCCCATGCAACCCCCATCGCCCCATGCAACCCCCATCGCCCCATGCAACCCCCATCGCCCCATGCAACCCCCATCGCCCCATGTAACCCCCATCGCCCCATGCAACCCCATCGCCCCATGCAACCCCCATCGCCCCATGCAACCCCCATCGCCCCATGCAACCCCATCGCCCCATGCAACCCCCATCGCCCCATGCAACCCCCATCGCCCCTTGCAACCCCCATCGCCCCATGCAACCCCCATCGCCCCATGCAACCCCCATCGCCCCATGCAACCCCCATCGCCCCATGCAACCCCCATCGCCCCATGCAACCCCCATCGCCCCATGCAACCCCCATCGCCCCATGCAACCCCCATCGCCCCATGCAACCCCATCGCCCCATGCAGCCCCCATCGCCCCATGCAACCCCATCGCCCCATGCAACCCCATCGCCCCATGCAACCCCCATCGCCCCATGCAACCCCCATCGCCCCATGCAACCCCCATCGCCCCATGCAACCCCCATCGCCCCATGCAACCCCCATCGCCCTGTGCAACCCCCATCGCCCCATGCAACCCCATCGCCCCATGCAACCCCCATCGCCCCATGCAACCCCCATCGCCCCATGCAACCCCCATCGCCCTGTGCAACCCCCATCGCCCCATGCAACCCCCATCGCCCCATGCAACCCCCATCGCCCCATGCAACCCCCATCGCCCCATGCAACCCCCATCGCCCCATGCAGCCCCCATCGCCCCATGCAACCCCCATCGCCCCATGCAACCCCCATCGCCCCATGCAACCCCCATCGCCCCTTGCAACCCCCATCGCCCCATGCAACCCCCATCGCCCCATGCAACCCCCATCGCCCTGTGCAACCCCCATCGCCCCATGCAACCCCCATCGCCCCATGCAACCCCCATCGCCCCATGCAACCCCCATCGCCCCATGCAACCCCCATCGCCCTGTGCAACCCCCATCGCCCCATGCAACCCCCATCGCCCCATGCAACCCCCATCGCCCCATGCAACCCCCATCGCCCCATGCAACCCCCATCGCCCCATGCAGCCCCCATCGCCCCATGCAACCCCCATCGCCCCATGCAACCCCCATCGCCCCATGCAACCCCCATCGCCCCATGCAACCCCCATCGCCCCATGCAACCCCCATCGCCCCATGCAACCCCCATCGCCCTGTGCAACCCCCATCGCCCCATGCAACCCCCATCGCCCCATGCAACCCCATCGCCCCATGCAACCCCCATCGCCCCATGCAACCCCCATCGCCCTGTGCAACCCCCATCGCCCCATGCAACCCCCATCGCCCCATGCAACCCCCATCGCCCTGTGCAACCCCCATCGCCCCATGCAACCCCCATCGCCCCATGCAACCCCATCGCCCCATGCAACCCCCATCGCCCCATGCAACCCCATCGCCCTGTGCAACCCCCATCGCCCCATGCAACCCCATCGCCCCATGCAACCCCCATCGCCCCATGCAACCCCCATCGCCCCATGCAACCCCATCGCCCCATGCAGCCCCCATCGCCCCATGCAACCCCCATCGCCCCATGCAACCCCCATCGCCCCATGCAACCCCCATCGCCCCATGCAACCCCCATCGCCCCATGCAACCCCCATCGCCCCATGCAACCCCCATCGCCCTGTGCAACCCCCATCGCCCCATGCAACCCCCATCGCCCCATGCAACCCCCATCGCCCCGCCAGCCCCGCGCCATTGCCCCGTGCCCCCCCCCCCCCCCCACTGCCCATTCACACCCCGTTGCCCCATGCTGCACCACCCACCCACCATGTGCAATGGCCCCTGCGTCAGGCGGCGCAGGCGAAGAAAGCAAAGGGGCTGCATGGGAAAGCCACATACCTGGTGCCCCATGCCACACTACCCACCCTGTGCAATGGCCCCCGTGTCCGGCGCAGCTTCCAGGAACATGCGGGCGAAGGAGACCGCCATGATGGATATGAAGAGGCCAAAGAGCGCCTCGAGCTTGCGAATGCCTAAGTTCTCGAGAAACAGGAGGAGGAAGCTGGGAGCACAGGTAACAGGGACAGCAGCAAGGATAAGGGGCGGAGAGACATGGGGGGCGGCTCAAGGCATCTAACACATACACTCCACACATTCGACACATGACACTCGAGAGCGCCCACTGTGGCCACCTCCGCCACGAGCCACAGCAGGTGGCTTCAAACTGGATCCTACTAGGGTATAACCCCTAAGCATTTCCCACCTGTCAAACCCTGTGGTGAGCACGCCGGCTCAGAGGGGCACGGCTCCCTTTGTGAGGATGCGGATGGCGTTGGATGTCGGCGCCATCCGCATCCTCCCCTTGAGATGATATGCATCCGCAGCCTATAAACTCCTGGATGTCGGCACCAACTATGGCCACCTCCGCCATGAACCAGAGCTCGGTAACCGAAGCAGTAACCCAGGCTCTAATCACCCAATCTCCCACCTATCAAGCCCTGTAATGAGCACACCCGCCCAGAGGGGCGCGGCTCCCCTTGAGAGGATGCGGATGGCGATGGCGCAGCGCAGCAAATGACCTCCTGGATGTCGGCGCCCACTATGGCCTAGCCACCTCCGCCATCAGCCAGAGCAGGGGGCTGGAAGGAACCCTACTAGGCTACCACCCTTGTGGCACATCCCACCCACCTGTCCAGGCCAGTGATCAGCACGCCGGCCCACAGCGGCACAGCGCCTTGGGTGAGGATGCGGATGGCGATGGCACAGCCGATCACCTCCTGGATGTCCGCGCCCACTATGGCCACCTCCGCCATGAGCCAGAGCACGGTGCGCACCACGGGGGAGTACTCCATGCGGCACAGCTCCGCCAGGTGGCACCCCGTCACCACGCCCACGCGCGCTGCTATCGCCTGGAGGCAAGGGGCGGGATGGTGGGAGAATGGCATATGCGTGCATCAGTTGTCGTGAACCACATCACGACGCGCACAACAGAGGGGAGCATACTCCCTGGGGCACGGCCCGGCCGGGTGGCACTGGCCACCACGCTGAAAATTGCACTGCTACTGCCTGGAGGTATGGGTGGGATGGACGTAAGGAAGGGAGTGGAAAAGGAGCCAACGGCGGTGGCGGGTCTAACTTTTGCCGTGCGGCAAAAGTCTTCACCAGTGTGCGCTGTAGCCTAGAGATCTGGGGTCCGGGGAAGGAAACATGGTGAGAAAATGATGAAGCACGTGGAAGGAACTGACTGAATGGAACCACGCGTCCACGGGGAATGTCATTCCTCTTGGCGAGCAATCCACGTGGAACTGACTGAATAGAATGGCCCATTGCGAGCCGTTGAGCACAGGAGTACAGCGCAAGCAGCCAAGAGAGCAACCAGGAGCACAGGAGGGACAGGAGCAACCAGGAGGAGCACGCAAGGGAAAAGATCCCTTGGTATTTCAGGTCGTACTCAGAATCAAGGGTAGCCCCCGCATTCTCAAGCATTAGCCCGCCTACCTGCACTGCAGCAGCAAGCCCAGCGCCATGGCCCACCTCTCCCCCAATGCGCCACCTCTTTATACATCCCCTCACCTCTCCCCCCAATGCGCCACCTCTTTATACATCCCCCTCACCTCTCCCCCCTACTGCCGTACCTGCAGCAGCAAGCCCAGCGCCGTGGACCAGAAGAGAATCCACAGCAGCGAATACCCCGTCTGCGCTCCTGCCTGCGGTTCAGATCACATCACACGGCGCATCATGAACATGTGAACATGCACTGCAAGTTAGTGCTTGTGAACATGCACTGCAAGTTGGTGCTTGTGAACATTGCACTGCAAGTTGGTGCTTGTGAACATTGCACTGCAAGTTAGTGCTTGTGAACATTGCACTGCAAGTTAGTGCTTGTGAACATTGCACTGCAAGTTAGTGCTTGTGAACATTGCACTGCAAGTTAGTGCTTGTGAACATTGCACTGCAAGTTAGTGCTTGTGAACATTGCACTGCAAGTTAGTGCTTGTGAACATTGCACTGCAAGTTAGTGCTTGTGAACATTGCACTGCAAGTTAGTGCTTGTGAACATTGCACTGCAAGTTAGTGCTTGTGAACATTGCACTGCAAGTTAGTGCTTGTGAACATTGCACTGCAAGTTAGTGCTTGTGAACATTGCACTGCAAGTTAGTGCTTGTGAACATTGCACTGCAAGTTAGTGCTTGTGAACATTGCACTGCAAGTTAGTGCTTGTGAACATTGCACTGCAAGTTAGTGCTTGTGAACATTGCACTGCAAGTTAGTGCTTGTGAACATTGCACTGCAAGTTAGTGCTTGTGAACATTGCACTGCAAGTTAGTGCTTGTGAACATTGCACTGCAAGTTAGTGCTTGTGAACATTGCACTGCAAGTTAGTGCTTGTGAACATTGCACTGCAAGTTAGTGCTTGTGAACATTGCACTGCAAGTTAGTGCTTGTGAACATTGCACTGCAAGTTAGTGCTTGTGAACATTGCACTGCAAGTTAGTGCTTGTGAACATTGCACTGCAAGTTAGTGCTTGTGAACATTGCACTGCAAGTTAGTGCTTGTGAACATTGCACTGCAAGTTAGTGCTTGTGAACATTGCACTGCAAGTTGGTGCTTGTGAACATTGCACTGCAAGTTGGTGCTTGTGAACATTGCACTGCAAGTTAGTGCTTGTGAACATTGCACTGCAAGTTAGTGCTTGTGAACATTGCACTGCAAGTAGTGCTTGTGAAACATTGCACTGCAAGTTAGTGCTTGTGAACATTGCACTGCAAGTTAGTGCTTGTGAACATTGCACTGCAAGTTAAGTGCTTGTGAACATTGCACTGCAAGGGTTAGTGCAGGCTTGTGAACATTGCACTGCAAGTTAGTGCTTGTGAACATTGCACTGCAAGTTAGTGCTTGTGAAACATTGCACTGCAAGTTAGTGCTTGTGAACATTGCACTGCAAGTTAGTGCTTGTGAACATTGCACTGCAAGTTTAGTGCTTGTGAACATTGCACTGCAAGTTAGTGCTTGTGAACATTGCACTGCAAGTTAGTGCTTGTGAACATTGCACTGCAAGTTAGTGCTTGTGAACATTGCACTGCAAGTTGGTGCTTGTGAACATTGCACTGCAATTTAGTGTTGTGAACTTGCCTGCAAGTATGCTTGTGAACATTGCACTGCAAGTTAGTGCTTGTGAACATTGCACTGCAAGTTAGTGCTTGTGAACATTGCACTGCATATGCTTGTGAACATTGCACTGCAAGTCGTGCTTGTGAACATTGCACTGCAAGTTAGTGCTTGTGAACATTGCACTGCAAGTCTAGTGTGCTTGTGAACATTGCACTGCAAGTTAGTGCTTGTGAACATTGCACTGCAAGTTAGTGCTTGTGAACATTGCACTGCAAGTTAGTGCTTGTGAACATTGCACTGCAAGTTAGTGCTTGTGAACATTGCACTGCAAAGTTAGTGCTTGTGAACATTGCACTGCAAGTCATAGTGCCTTGTGAACATTGCACTGCAAGTTAGTGCTTGTGAACATTGCACTGCAAGTTAGTGCTTGTGAACATTGCACTGCAAGTTAGTGCTTGTGAACATTGCACTGCAAGTTAGTGCTTGTGAACATTGCACTGCAAGTTAGTGCTTGTGAACATTGCATGCAAGTTAGTGCTTGTGAACATTGCACTGCAAGTTAGTGCTTGTGAACATTGCACTGCAAGTTAGTGCTTGTGAACATTGCACTGCAAGTTAGTGCTTGTGAACATTGGCCACTGCAAGTTAGTGCTTGTGAACATCTGCAACTGCAAGTTAGTGCTTGTGAACATTGCACTGAAGTTAGTGCTTGTGAACATTGCACTGCAAGTTAGTGCTTGTGAACTCACTGCAAGTGTGTGTGAACATTGCACTGCAAGTTAGTGCTTGTGAACATTGCACTGCAAGTTAGTGCTTGTGAACATTGCACTGGCAAGTTAGTGCTTGTGAACATTGCACTGCAAGTTAGTGCTGGTGAACATTGCACTGCAAGTTAGTGCTTGTGAACATTGCACTGCAAGTTAGTGCTTGTGAACATTGCACTGCAAGTTAGTGCTTGTGAACATTGCACTGCAAGTTATGGCTTTGAACATTGCACCTGGCAAGTTAGTGCTTGTGAACATTGCACTGCAAGTCCAGTGCTTGTGAACATTGCACTGGTAGTGCTTGTGAACATTGCACTGCAAGTTGTGCTTGTGAACATTGCCACTGCAAGTTAGTGCTTGTGGAACATTGCACTGCAAGTTAGTGCTTGTGAACATTGCACTGCAAGTTAGTGCTTGTGAACATTGCACTGCAAAGTTATGCTTGTGAACATTGGCACTGCAAGTTAGTGCTTTGTGAACATTGCACTGCAAGTTAGTGCTTGTGAACATTGCACTGCAAGTTAGTGCTTGTGAACATTGCACTGCAAGTTAGTGCTTGTGAACATTGCACTGCAAGTTAGTGCTGTGAACATTGCACTGCAAGTTAGTGCTTGTGAACATTGCACTGCAAGTTAGTGCTTGTGAACATTGCACTGCAAGTTAGTGCTTGGTGGAACATTGCACTGCAAGTTAGTGCTTGTGAACATTGCACTGGCGTGCCAAAGTTAGTGCTTGTGAACATTGCACTGCAAGTTAGTGCTTGTGAACATTGCACTGCAAGTTAGTGCTTGTGAACATTGCACTGCAAGTTAGTGCTTGTGAACATTGCACTGCAAGTTAGTGCTTGTGAACATTGCACTGCAAGTTAGTGCTTGTGAACATTGCACTGCAATTAGTGCTTGTGAACATTGCACTGCAAGTTAGTGCTTGTGAACATTGCCACTGCAAGTTAGTGCTTGTGAACATTGCACTGCAAGTTAGTGCTTGTGAACATTGCACTGCAAGTTAGTGCTTGTGAACATTGCACTGCAAGTTAGTGCTTGTGAACATTGCACTGCAAGTTAGTGCTTGTGAACATTGCACTGCAAGTTAGTGCTTGTGAACATTGCACTGCAAGTTAGTGCTTGTGAACATTGCACTGCAAGTTAGTGCTTGTGAACATTGCACTGCAAGTTAGTGCTTGTGAACATTGCACTGCAAGTTAGTGCTTGTGAACATTGCACTGCAAGTTAGTGCTTGTGAACATTGCACTGCAAGTTAGTGCTTGTGAACATTGCACTGGCAAGTTAGTGCTTGTGAACATTGCACTGCAAGTTAGTGCTTGTGAACATTGCACTGCAAGTTAGTGCTTGTGAACATTGCACTGCAAGTTAGTGCTTGTGAACATTGGCACTGCAAGTCTAGTGCTTGTGAACATTGCACTGCAAGTTAGTGCTTGTGAACATTGCACTGCAAGTTAGTGCTTGTGAACATTGCACTGCAAGTTGTGCTTGTGAATTGCACTGCAAGTTAGTGCTTGTGAACATTGCACTGGCAAGTTAGTGCTTGTGAACATTGCACTGCAAGTTAGTGCTTGTGAACATTGCACTGCAAGTTAGTGCTTGTGAACATTGCACTGCAAGTTAGTGCTTGTGAACATTGCACTGCAGTTAGTGCTTGTGAACATTGCACTGCAAGTTAGTGCTTGTAACATGCATGCAAGTTAGTGCTTTGAACATTGCACTGCAAGTTAGTGCTTGTGAACATTGCACTGCAAGTTAGTGCTTGTGAACATTGCACTGCAAGTTAGTGCTTGTGAACATTGCACTGCAAGTTAGTGCTTGTGAACATTGCACTGCAAGTTAGTGCTTGTGAACATTGCACTGCAAGTTAGTGCTTGTGACATTGCACTGCAAGTTAGTGCTGTGAACATTGCACTGCAAGTTAGTGCTTGTGAACATTGCACTGCAAGTTAGTGCTTGTGAACATTGCACTGCAAGTTAGTGCTTGTGAACATTGCACTGCAAGTTAGTGCTTGTGAACATTGCACTGCAAGTTAGTGCTTGTGAACATTGCACTGCAAGTTAGTGCTTGTGAACATTGCACTGGCAAGTTTGTAGTTGCTTGTGAACATTGCACTGCAAGTTAGTGCTTGTGAACATTGCACTGCAAGTTAGTGCTTGTGAACATTGCACTGCAAGTTAGTGCTTGTGAACATTGCACTGCAAGTTAGTGCTTGTGAACATTGCACTGCAAGTTAGGTGGCTTGTGAACATTGCACTGCAAGTTAGTGCTTGTGAACATTGCACTGCAAGTTAGTGCTTGTGAACATTGCACTGCAAGTTAGTGCTTGTGAACATTGCACTGCAAGTTAGTGCTTGTGAACATTGCACTGCAAGTTAGTGCTTGTGAACATGCATGCAAGTTAGTGCTTGTGAACATTGCACTGCAAGTTAGTGCTTGTGAACATTGCACTGCAAGTTAGTGCTTGTGAACATTGCACTGCAAGTTAGTGCTTGTGAACATTGCACTGCAAGTTAGTGCTTGTGAACATTGCACTGCAAGTTAGTGCTTGTGAACATTGCACTGCAAGTTAGTGCTTGTGAACATTGCACTGCAAGTTAGTGCTTGTGAACATTGCACTGCAAGTTAGTGCTTGTGAACATTGCACTGCAAGTTAGTGCTTGTGAACATTGCACTGCAAGTTAGTGCTTGTGAACATTGCACTGCAAGTTAGTGCTTGTGAACATTGCACTGCAAGTTAGTGCTTGTGAACATTGCACTGCAAGTTAGTGCTTGTGAACATTGCACTGCAAGTTAGTGCTTGTGAACATTGCACTGCAAGTTAGTG